TTATGTATTATAACTTTGAAGTAATTCATGAAGTTGGTTTAATGTTTTCAACTCTGAGCCATAAAGGCAAGACATTTAGCTAGATTTTTTTAAGTGATTTTGTTTATTTTAGTTGTGTGTATATTCTTTGGTTATTTTCTAGTGTTTTTGTTTGCTTGAGGATAAGTAAAGCATTAAGTTTTGGGGTGTTTGATGAGTGTATCTCACTCATTGTTTTAATGCCACTTTAACTTGTTATTTAATTGTTCTTGATAGTTTTTTAAAACATATTTATGTGTGTTTTAATGTTGTGATATATATTGATTGAAGTGAAAAAAAATGCAAAAGTATCTACGAAAAGAAGATGAAGTAGTCAGGAAATCGAGCGCTATGACATATCACGAAAGAAGCAGAATGTGTGGCATCGAGTGCCATGCACATAGCGCTGCAACACTTGGAAAACACAACAGTAGCAGAATGTGTGGTGCCACTAGAGGAAAATCGCAACCCTACGAGGCTAACGCTGAGGCTCAGCTGTGCGGAAATGCTATTTTGAATTTTTCGACTATTTTCTTGCCCTAATCTGACCTTTACACTTCTAAAACTTTGAGATGCTACAAATACAACCCTAAAGACCACTTTTCAAGAAGAATTGAAAGAGAATTGAAGGGGCAATATTCAAGAAATAAAAAAGGAGGCAAAGGCAACTTGGCGAAAAAGATTTATTCAAACATCCAAAAAATAGGTGTATCTTTCTTCTCTTCACGTTATACCTCATGAATTGTATAGATTTTATGTTTCATACCATGAACTAAATAATTATTCTAGGGTTGGATTAGCCAAAAATTGAGGATATGATTTGATTTTATTTTTTCTATGAAATTTTCCAATTCCATTTATTTGTGCTGTTGATTCAATATTTTTAATTAATTGACTACTAATTGAATGATTAGATGCCAGTCAGTTTCGATAATCAAGAGAGGAAAATTTGGGTGCGATCACAATTATAACACGACCTAGATTTCATGGGTTTCAAGAGAAAGTGTAGAATTTATGAAACTTTTTCCATCTAAGAACCATGTTCTTGATAAATCTTGATTTTAATTCAGAATAGAGATATTGAAATTAATTTCTAGGATTAATTTTTACTCAACACTGAGAGAGGAGGTAAAATTACATTAGAGTTCTTGCTTATAAATATGGAAAATTGATTAGCGATGTCTAGGTTTTTGAAAATTATCTTTAATAGTTGGGTGAAATCATTCCCTAGGCTCTCCTATATTGATTAATTCATACAACTTGCATTTATTTATTGAATTTGTCACCATCATTCCTAGTTTGGATAAAAGATTGATTCTAAAATTCATTTATCTAGATAAAATAGAGGCTACACAATTATAGTACTTAGTATAAAATTAAATTACAATCTCGGTGTCAACACTCTAACTTTATTCATATATTACAAAACATGATACCGTACACTAATGTTATAATTTATATTGTAGAAAATGCATAACAATACTATTGCATATCGTTGTTCATCTAATTTTATGCTAACTAGATTTTTTACAGAGGTCTAATATAATACACTAGGTTAAAAATTTCAATGGTCATTGAGCTTTGAAAAAAACATAAAAATAATTATCATTGAATTTTAAAATTTTTTTAGATGGTTAATGAACTTGTCAAATTGTTATCCCATTGACCATTGAATTGTAAAAGTTTTTCAAATGGTAAATGAACTTATCAAATCGTTATCTCATTGGCCATTGATTGAGCTGTAAAAGTTTTTCAAATGCTCATTCATTTTTAATTTTTTTTTTTTTTTTGGATTTTGACCTAGCTTATTAAATCATTAACTTATTCATTACTCAATAAATGACTGTTAGAAAATTCATTGATGTGGAAAATGAAAAATGCTTACACACGCACTATTGTTGCTAATCGACAATAAATCAATTAAAAAAAATTAGATTTCATCTATTATACGCACTTAAAAAATGCGATTGAATTTTAACATTCATATATCTTCTTTCTTTTTTTTATCTGTATTCTCACATAATTTTATCTTTTATAGATATTTTTCCGTTAATTGCTTTTTTCATAAGTTCTTTTAATAGACAAGCACATTTTTGGTTGATTTGTTGATCAAGCAATGACAATAATATGCTATGTTAACATTTTTTGTTTGTCATATCAACAAGTTTGTCAAATTTCTAACGATGAGTTATTGAGCTAACATATTGTAATAACGATTTAATAAGTTTATTGATAATTTGAAAGACTTTTAAAATTTAATGGTCAGTAAGACATCGATTTGATAAGTTCAATGGTCATTCAAAAAACTCTTAAAAATTAATGGTCAATGCAAACAAACTGTGTAAAGTTCATCCTAGAAGTTATTTTCTAAAGGTTGATATGAAAAGAAAATATGGATAACTTTCTTTCTCCAAACATTTCATGGATGTACGTTAAAAAAAAGATGGAAAAAGATTAAAAAAAAAAAAACAATTTTGGATCGTTAATTTCCTTCACATTTTCGTTAATCTTCTTATTAAAAGAAATATTAAGGTAGAATTTGGTTTGCGTTCCTGTTTTCGGCTTACAGTTTTGAATTCATTATTTGTTTTCGATTTTGAGAAATTATTTTAGGATTACAGAAAACGTGTTTGATTTAAAAAATTTAGAAATAGTTTTATGACTTCTTTCCATTAATTTGATTATTTATTAAAACATATCAATTTTATGCTAATATGCGATCAGAAAAATATAAATTCTAAAGTTGGTAAAAGAAAAATGAATCATTGGAAGTATATCTAATCGTATCGAAATCATCTGTACATAACAAATCATTGTCATTCATATCATTTATACACTTATCATAATCATTTATAATAGTACTCCAACAAATTTAAATATCAAAATCCAATACACAAATTAAAATAAAACTGTAGTAAATCTTGAGAATTACAAAGTTCATAAGCAATATATGTAAAGAACACAATCCTACATTAACAGTTCAAAATACTCAACTCGACCAATCAAGCAATTCAAACAAGTTCTAAGATAGGTACTCTCTTAATTTCTGGTATCATCACAAATGTCATCATGAATCCTTGAAAATCTTTATTGCTTTCATATAAACTTGTTAGACAATTGAGAAAATCAATTGGGTGACAACTACTTTAGAAATTGGAAAATTACCTTCACTCCCTTGGCTTGATGTTTGAGAAATAGTACGAGGGAGATTGATTCTCCACTAGAGTTCTTGGAGGAGTTTGGAAAGAGAGCGAGATGAGTATTTGTATTTGGATAGATTTTGGTTGATTTTATTAATTATTTTAATTTAGGCCCCGTTTGACCCACTTTTTTTCAAAAAAAAAAAAAAAAAATTACATTCTTAAACATTGATTTGACTTTGTTTTTGTTATATATTCTTTAATAAAATAATATTACATGCTAATTCAAAATTTTTCTTATTTTTTAACCATACATTTCCCATCAAGACATTATTCGAAATATGTTATTATGGAAATAATGTGGCTCAAACAAGGGCTTAATTAATTTTTAAGTTCACCTTCTTTGTTTTGTATTCACTCAAAAATCAAAAAGTCATTTTGAGTTTTATGTTATAAAATTTTTATTGTTTTCGAAAACTCAATTTTGAAAATAATACACCAAATATCTTTCGAGTGTTTTAGAAAACTAAAAACTGAAAATGACCTCAAAATGATAAATCAAACGCACTCTAAACTTTTAATATTTTATAATTTTAAGATAAAAGGGTGGGTTTGATTGGAAGTATAGAATTTGCATGAAAAGAATGCTTAGAATGGAAATTGTCTATTAAATGTATTTGATTTATTTAATTTTTAATTTAGAAAATATTATACTTGTCCGTTTTTCATTGATGGATAGATGAGAGAGAGTGAATAGATGAAAGAGAGAAAGAGAGAGTAAATTCCTTGAAAAATAAAATTCTATTTCCTCTAAAGAAAAGATTTTTATTGAGCCATTGTTTGAGCCACATTATTAATATGAAAATGTATTTTTGAATAGTGTATCGATGGAAAATGTGTGGTTAAGAAATAAGGAAATGTTTTGAATTTGTGTGTAATATTATTTCATTGAAGAATGTGTAGTTGAGATGATGTCAAATCACTGTTGAAGAATGTATTTTTTTTTTAAATGTGGCTCAAACAAGCAATGATTTTGAGAAAAATATGGTCATCAAACTAAAAATAAAAAAATATTTTTCATGAAAAAAAGAATAAAATTTGAATGAAAAAACACATTTTCTATATAAAAAAAGGGAAGTGCTATATATACATAATTGTCTATATAATGTTATTCATAATTACATGTGGTACTGGATCCAACATTTAATTCAAATTTCACACTTGAACATCAATAACCGGATGATTGCCACATCACATTATGGATATTATTATGTGCAATAATTATATACAAGTAAAATTTTCTTAAAAAAATATATTGAAAATCAAACGCATGCCAAATTCATATTAACAAATTGGAAAATATCATATAAAAAATTTCGATGGTGCTAGTGGTACATAGGGATGCACGTGTACATCTTCTTACATGACGTGTGGGATCCACCCAAATAAAAAACACTTAGGGTGTGTTTGATTACATTTATTTTCCATGGAAAATATTAATTTTCTACCCAAATTCTTACTTGGAGTGTTTGATTGCTATTTTTTTCCATGGAAAATATTTTCCAACTTTTGAAAGTATGCCTAATTTTCCTTGTTTTTAAGGAAAATATTTTCTTTGAGTAGAGGTGGTTTTTATTTTCCACAAAAGATGGAAAATATTTTCTTTTCTAGGTAATATTTTCCATGCCAATCAAACACACTCTTAGTTGGACGAATTTCACACTCTATGTGAGGGAAATGTACAACTTTAGGTACGCTCCCATTATGTCACACTAAATTAATTCTAAAATTGTAACGGCAAATGGATGGTAAACTGTACAACAGATTCCACGAACAAAGTTTCTGAGTTTCACTTTCCATTTCTACAGCTGATGCGCCGTTAAATCAGTTAAATTTTCTCTTTAACCCATCATCTTCATAATTACCCATCTGATATGCAAATTTGAATCTAAAATGCATACAATTATCTGAATTAATTAATCCAACTTTCTCATTTATTAAATTTTTTGGCCCCTCCCCACTCTCCACTCTCCACTCTCATCAAATTCGCCATTGTTCACAGTAAAAAGGTCCCAAAAAACCCACTTTAGGGTTCTTCAGAAACAGCATTTTTATATATTTTTGGGTATTTTTGTTTGTGTCGGATTTGATGGTAATATTGTGATATTAGTACATACTATGAGAAAGGAGGGAGCAGAATGGCGGTGGCTAAGAAGGCAGGGAGGTATTGTGAGGGACTGCAGTTGAGTAGTCTGGCTTCTTCAATTCTGTGTTGGAAATGGCAGCGGAGGCCGGCGGTGGTGGTGCCGTGGACAGCGATTTGTGGACTGATGCTGTTCGCCGTGGGACTAATTTCTCTGTTCACGGGGCACGTGGCATCTGATCTCGAGTGGTACTCTCAGCGCCTTGTCAAGCGCACTTGGTACTATAAACTAGTATGTATATAACCTTGCTCTCAGACTCAACTGTCATTCTCTGTGTGTGTGTGTTTTTATTTTTATTTTTTATGCGTTTCCGAAGTGAATTGTGGGAAAAATTCTGCAAGTTATTACTTTTCCTTAATTTCGTTACATCATTGTGGAACATGGTGTTGAATGATTTTTGAAATGCTGGCGTTTTGGGTAATTTCTTTCTATATAATACATTTCTATCATTTTTTCTCAAGTGAGAATGGACAATAACACAAAATAAAAGACTGTCTATCTCATGCACTTCTATTGTCATTTTTTTATTTTTTATTTTTAGAGTTTATTGGGTACTCTTTTCTATTATCAATTCATAGCTAGTCCATTTTTCTGGCAGTTCCTTCTCTGCAGTCACTCGGACGTCCCATCTTTACATTTTTTTTCTTGGTAAGAAAGGGGGAGGGTATGCTGTCAAACACAAATATGTCCATAATTTTGTGTTTTTGTTGTAGGAACATGGTTATTTTATTGCTGAGCTTACTGATGTTATATAAGTTTGTCATTCTCTGTGTGTGAGCGTGGGGTGGTGGGGAGATGCAGGCTAGAAAAATGGAAAACAGACACTTGAAGTTAATAAATGAGGGAGCAGAAGTACCCAGCATTTATTGTCATGAGGAAAATGGAAGGGAAATTGATTTCTTGGGAGCAAATGTCAATATTGTATGGCAGCTGGCCTCACGAATGCCAAACCTCATTGATTTTTTCTACGAAATCCTGGAAATGTGTTCTTATAAATATTTACATGTTATGTGTATTTCTTTTTGTTTCCGAATTCATTTTTTAATAGCTTTTTCCCTTTTTGAGTTATGGGGAGGTTTGCATAATCTTCCATTTCCTTTATGATTGAACTACCTTCTAACTGCGACCGAATTTCATGTTTTGGTTTGCCTTCCGCTTTGGTCGGTCTTTGAACCATTCTCTCTTTCCTTGCCCCCTTCACATGCAAGGCACATGGGTTGTGTTTGGGTAATATTAATCTGTAGAAAGTCATATAATATGGAAATTATAATTTATTTAGATTGTTATTTTTGGTTAATTGGTAGGTTGATTTATTTCCTTTT